AACCTATTCCTTAAATTTAGATGCCGAATTTCTTGAATTAAGATTCTTGCCAATGTGTATAGGTTGTTGCCATGGGGACTGATCCAGAAGAACTGCATACTGAGCAGTGTCAGTGCTGGAGATTGTTTTATGAGCGAATCACTTTTCGAGACTCTCACTTCTGGAGTCCACATAGTCACTGACGTTATACGTGGATACGTTATTGTTCGCTTGTAAACACTATTATCATGTTTGGACTTAATCTATGTTTCAGTTCATTTCACATAACCTACATCCAGGTTACCCCGCTGGAGATACCAGTATCCCATCTTCTACATTTTATGAAGTGGAGACCCGTGAAGGTCCGGGTTGGAATGAATCTTCAGTAACCCATGCTTGTCGTAAGAGGCGACTAACGGGATCGGGTGGTCAGGCTCGATGACTTGGTTTGACACATATCATGTGTTCTCAATTGCACAGATCGATGCTCATGCTGTTGATCACTGGATTGACTGGTCCAGACTCGATTATTACAGACCGCCGCCATATAGTTGGAATATTGCTGAGTGCGGCGTGAAACTAAACTCACTCACTATGAAGTGGAATTGAATTGAAGAGTGTCGTATAACATGTAAAATGCAATCCAAGATATTACTAATGGGTAACCCACCTCTACTGATACAAAGTAATATGAATGTGATCCTAGTTTGAGAAGTTGTGTAATCTGATATGTTCGCAAAAGGGGAAAAATACAATCTTTTTAATCAATATTTTATCCCAACCAACAAATTCCAACAAATTGGACCTTTTTTTTTATTGAAATATTAACACTGTATAGAAATAAAGCTATTTGGCTTTTCACCTCGAATGTGAAAAATGAATTGTGGGCCCCGATTCACTGATTAAAGTTAATGTTTCATTGAGCTGGTAACCATTACTGAATGTTACATTTCCTATCATCGTGATTATATTCAAGGCGGAACTGGTAAATATCAAGGGACACATTACACTACATTGTTAAGGCGCCTTTGAAGTGACAGGAGATATTGATTCACCGACCACTAATATAATTATTCTCGATTTTCTGTGACCATCCTTAATGACGTTTTATTATTTAGAACAATACGTGGTTTCAGCACAAATCAATCGCGGACCGCGTATTGACACCCTGTGATACTGATGGAGATGTATAACGGAGGTTATATTATCAGTGGGACAGACATGACAAGACCAGACACCACGGAGCAAACACAACAACATGCACACGTTGCACTAGCCCCCTACATTATTCATAGATAATATCAATTCCACATATATCATATTTAGAAAAAATAACTGGACACAAGAAATATTTACAGTAAGAATATAGAAAACTAAACGTAATGTTTGTAAATTCTATATATTGTTTGTCGTATTGACATTGAGCTTAATATTGTACAAGTGTTGCAGAGAGTGGCGAATGTAACTATTTGAAATTTGGTCATTTTAAAAGAGCATCGTCCGTACGGATGAATATTTAAGTGAGAATGACGTCGCGTCATCGTTATTTCAGCTAAATAGGGACTAAAATGTACAGACACACTGGATATGTATTTATGTGAATATATGAGTCTGTGACCGACGAGTCGTCACGTGACCAAAATTGTCCACAAGTTGCCATGTTTGCACCTGGACACAGGGTAGGCAAATAAAAAATGGATTAGAGTTAAATATTATTCCCGTTATTTTCTGTGACCAATATTCCTAATCCAAATAGGTTCTTATTTATCCGTGGTTTAGGAAAATGCGTCCTGGGTGTATATGTAGACGGCTACAAGTATTGATATATCAGTCGCGATGTTCTGACTGATGGTTTCATTGACACAAGGTGCAGATAATTCAGTTATCCGATCGCTCCTTAGTCGACACCCCCTCGGGCATGTAGCACAGAAATAACCAACATACGTCACACTCCTATGGAACGCTGTAAAGGGCATTCTCTCGCGATCTCGACTATTCGTAACGCGTATAAATGCCTTCTGATGATAAGTAATATATAACTGTTTATACATGGACAGGAGGTTCAGTTTAGTTTCCTTGGCAAACATTGAACATGTACATACTGTGCATCCAACACGTCTGTACTTACATACGGGTTCATACCCAAATTGTGGTCAGTCATAGGCCAATATGCTTATCTACGAGGTAACAGGAAGCCAAATATAAACAGAGCTAGCATCGTATTTAAATAATTCACTGAATCTTAGTTTGAGCATACAACTAAATATTGATTTTTCGGGGTGTTTTTTGTTTATGCAAATTGTAAGGTACGTTAGCCGTTGATAATAGAATAACTAGATTTTTTTCACCGACCCTCTTGATACTTTACATCCCGCCTCATATCATTGTATTGACTTCAGGTACCCATCCACTGACAGCAATATGTGTCCCGGGGTTTCTTATATTGCTCAGTTGCTCGAGATAGTACTTGTCCGGTCTAACTTGCATGCTGTGGTAACTCGCAATATTCGGCAGATACAGATGCTTTAAGTCGTTTGTTTACCAACAAATGAATGAAAAAAAATGTACATCTCACAATTATTTTAATGTGGACTTATTCGTCAACATGTTAAGTATTTCTATTCTAGAAACGTAAATCCTCGAGGCATGTGCATTTCTCTGAATAAGACAGTGAATTTGGTTCAACGCCGTGAACAGTATTTCAGACACCTCGACTGTCAGCTTGATATCGAAGTGATGACCTAATCAACGACGTACAGGAATGGATTATCCACTGTCCCTATCTACTATGTTTACTTCAATTGATGATTGCGTGTTTTCGTGTCCTGAATTTCGAGTGAAACGGGAGAATTTATACCGTGTTCACATTTTGCACTCTTGACTTCTGAGAAAACTTCCATTGACTATAAACAGTAGAGTGCGGGAATTTAGCCAAATCTCGCACTTTCTTCATAAGAGGTTGTTACCTTAAGTCGAGATCGCCCTGACAGTATTCCATACCCTCGGCCATTCGGTGCTACGTGCGTTTGAGCCTCTTACTGCAATACTTCAGTGAGGGAAATCTGACTGTGCAACGCTATGTTCTTATTAACGGTTTTGGCCATACTTGTACTTTGTCAACCCCGGAGACATTATGTGAGTGGCAGTAGAAGTTACCGTTCCAGACAGCAGCGGGTTATACCATCATCATACCCACGGAAGTGGCAGTAGAAGTTACCGTTCCAGAAAGCAGCGGGTTATACCACCATCATAGCCACGAACGTGGCACATGTTTAAGATCTTAGTCACTTTCCGTGTTCCGCAAACATATACTACTCACACTTTAGGTCACAAACATTCCCAACTTTACTTAATCCCAAGATTTATAATTTGAAATTGTATCCATTTAAAACTGGATAAATAATAATATGGTAACCCCTCTTTAGGCAAACAGCCACTTTAATCTAACCTTATGCACCTGATACATGAGTAACCATAGAAATGGTTTTCACGACACAAATCAACCATTTTGCTAATCATGGAACCAGTCACTGACAAGTACACAACACCTGTCAATAGCAGGTATGGGATCCAAAAGATGAAATGACATACTGAAACCAAGGATCCATGCTTACAATAAGCTTACATATCTAAACCAAATTAGACCCCACATCATAGTTTTCTGTTGAATCAATGATTTGATCCTCAGCAAAGTATGAACAGTATATTTCTAAGCTTGCCCAACTCACCCAGTCACTTATTGTTATGTTTGCTCAACAGATAAATCAACAGTATCCAAACTATATGACGGCGGATAGGGAACAGACAATCCTGTATATGACATCGTGAACAACGAGTACGATGATATGGAGTCAACCGGATCACCGAGCTGGACCATGCCATCGATTAAATCGCCCCCACAATCTTACGTTGTAGACTGCTTGGGATCTACATTTATGACGAACATAGGCTGCTGGGTGCCTACATTTATGACGAACGTAGTCTGTTGGGGACCTACATAGACGACGAACAAAGGCTGCTCGGAACCTACATTTATGATGAACATAGGCTGCTGGGGACCTACAATTATGACAAACATAGGCCACTGGGGACCTACATAGACGACAAACATAGGCCACTGGGGACCTACATAGACGACAAACATAGGCTCCTGGGGACCTACATAGACGACAAACATAGGCCACTAGGACGACCAACATGGGGACCTACATAGACGACAAACATAGGCTGCTGGGGACCTACATAGACGACAAACATAGGCTGCTGGGGACCTACATAGACGACAAACATAGGCTGCTGGGGACCTACATAGACGACAAACATAGGCCACTGGGGACCTACATAGACGACAAACATAGGCCACTGGGGACCTACATAGACGACAAACATAGGCCACTGGGGACCTACATAGACGACAAACATAGGCCACTGGGGACCTACATAGACGACAAACATAGGCTGCTGGGGACCTACATAGACGACAAACATAGGCCACTGGGGACCTACATAGACGACAAACATAGGCCACTGGGGACCTACATAGACGACAAACATAGGCCACTGGGGACCTACATAGACGACAAACATAGGCTGCTGGGGACCTACATAGACGACAAACATAGGCTGCTGGGGACCTACATAGACGACAAACATAGGCCACTGGGGACCTACATAGACGACAAACATAGGCCGCTGGGGACCTACATAGACGATAAACATAGGCCACTGGGGACCTACATAGACGATAAACATAGGCCACTGGGGACCTACATAGACGACAAACATAGGCCACTGGGGACCTACATAGACGACAAACATAGGCCACTGGGGACCTACATAGACGACAAACATAGGCTGCTGGGGACCTTCATTGCTACCGGTACCTTATTGATTATCAGAGACGAGAGTGGTGTACTTTCACCTGAATCAGCAGTTATTGTGTTTTTCACTTTTAGAAATATTGATTACAATCAAATGTCGTGTTCTACTACAGAATAATAAAGATAACAACAAACACATAGTATCATTGGAATAATTGTATTGTAATATCTAAATGATATATCTGTTTTCAAGGCTGCCACAGTTTGCATCGCATTTTATATGGTTCGACGGTATCGCTCTATCCGGAGTACGTCAGTATTACAAGCTACAGAGCTATTATCATATGTATATAGCACCATACATTTGCAAAACATTGAAACAAAGTTAATCCAAAACAACAGCTATAGTATACACCGTGTTCCTTGATCCCCCATGCATACTTTTACAAGCATCAATTGTTCGGTGTTGTACTCATATGTGTCAGTAATGATCAGCTAATGGAATTATTATAGGATACTTCATACCACCAGAAATTAACCAAGGGATTCTCTCGTACACGAACATTGTCTAATATTGTAGGGATGTTATAAACATATGGCCCGAAGCTATGGCCCAGGAACAGATGGAACAGACTGACAAGTAATTTTGTTCATACCTGTTGCTTTGAAATGTTGACGCTGTATTTACCAACTTTCACAGCAAAACACATAAATGGTGGTTGTGCTGCCCGAACCCTGCATTATTAATCTGGGTTACATTGTAGCATGGTGTCGTCTGCCTCTCATCCTGGGCAGACGTGGTCGAAAACTGTCTCTGATTTCGTCACTGTGGGGAATCCCCGCCAGGGAACTGGCAGAATCCGGTACGGTTTCGAGGTAATCGGCCCACTTGAAGTGTTGCGCATCCCGGAAGCAGTATTGGATTTTGAGATTCTCCTTCCGGTATGTGTAATAGAGGATGTAGAAATTACACATCTCGTCAGTATTGGTGGCTCTGTATAGGAATAAATAGCTTCATTAATTACTTCGACAGACCCTGGACGAATGTTGAAACACTTTCACTACTTACTCTTTATATGTAAAACACTCATTCATGCCAGTTATTGCATACCATTATCTCTGTATATCAACTACTCACCCCATCATTGTATACTCTTCTCTCTGCATGCTATTCATAGTGCATCTGGCCGCCTGTGCAATAAATACAAATATAGAATCGTACCTGACATCGTTAAGGCATGACGGTTAGTTTGTAGAATAGATATATCTTGTCATCTTATCATAGGCCGACATCTACCCAGTAAAATGTGCAATATGACATTAAAATTTATGGATGTCAACTTCTTTAGGAACATGACATTTAGTGAAAATATTAGTAAACAGATGTATCACTTCTAAATGTCATTCAAAGACCCACCATGATATTGGTTTCATGAAGTTTAATCACTTTCATTTACTTCAGCCTTAATCAGTCTTAAATTTAATGCTCGCCTGAAATTCCAGATAATCCTGCTAAGAAAAAGTATTTCAAAAAGTATTTGAAATTGTTTTTGTATCTGAAAGTTTCGAATGAGATATTGCACCGATTGCCTAATGTTTTAGCGTTCAGGGAGGCCAGATTGAGCAACTGATTACTAAAGGACATCAATGATACAAAGTGACCTGCGTGATGTTCCGCTTACCAAAATATCCCCCTTCCGTATACTGAGGTGGGGAGTTGTTATGTTGTAGAATGTCTGAAACACAAGGTAAGTCGTAAAAAACAGACGGAAGTAAAGTCAATCTGATATTGTTACTTTATGGCTGTGTTGACCAAATCATTCACAATAATGACGGTACGAATACATTATGCTTGACATTTTGCGCATAAAGGCGGTGTTTGTTACGTTATATTACTTAACTGCTGACGCATTGGAGATCTTTTGTACCAGTCGACGCCATTCATTGACAGTGTTATGAGTAGGCGAACTTCAAAGTGATAATTACTCCTCGACAAAGGGACGTAATGAAATAATCTCATGATATAAATGTCACTGGTTCTTCATCTAATAACTACAGCTAATCGAATATCGAAGTCTTCAATTATGTTTCATTACAATGTTTATGAACCTCAGACACTACATTTCACACTGGATTTCACAGCAGATTTCATAATAGATTCCACAGCAGATTTCACAGTGGTCGTACGAGTGACGTAAACCAGAGGCACAGGTGTTTGAATGTGATTCAGATTTGACAGTTGTACCATTGAGAGTAGTGTCTGAACGCTTCATCATCCTCAGTTTTCCTTATTTGGATCTATTATTCCATATTGACCTGTGTTAATACATTTTGAAAATAACATCATAATCTACAAAGCATTGAATTTTATAATCGACAGAAATACTTCCTGTTATATTTGGCAGGTCACATGGAATATGTCGAATAATGATTTTTGATCATGAATGTTTCGAATAATACGTAGTTCGTGAATAAATGAAACAAAGGAAACTGTCTACTTGATTCCAGTCTCGATTCCTGCTATTTAAAAAATCGACACAATGTTGTCTGTCACGCACCTGTGGCAACTGTGGAGACATCCGTCCTATCTCCGTCCACTGGCCGTCTCTAATCCGGTAGCCAGATGTTACCAAGCCTGACACAACAACATGCGTTATATCAACATGAATACAGCTTTGTGAAAAGAAAGTGCAACATGTTTAAGCTACCTGTTCACCAAGCACAACTTAGGGTTTCTTCTGGTTTAAGTCCAAATTTTTTACATACCATTGATCATCGCAGTGCTAAAATGGCATCGTGGTACAGTTCCTTGAGTTATATAAAGCACCACTAATCAAACTTCAGCAGGGATAGTGCCTCTTTTCCCCAGTAGCAGATTTTGTGTAGCCACCATACATTCATATAAACGACTCAACGTTTTCGCGTTATATTTAATCAAAATTGAAAATTAGTCACTGTTTGGTAAGGGGTAACCTTTAGAACAGGGATTATTGAAAACAGTCACCTGTGACAAAATACTACCAACGAATATAGAAAAGACGAACAATGGGTGTCTAAGATTCCGAGTGAGTGAGTGAGTTTGGTTTTACGCCGCACTCAGCAATCTTCCAGCTATATGTCGGTGGTCTGTAAATAAGCGGGTCTGGACAAGACAATCCAGTGATCAACAACTTCAACATCGACCTGCACAAATGGGATACGATGATATGTGTCAACCAAGTCAGCGGGCCTGACCACCCAATCCCGTTATTCAATCGCCTCTTACGACAAGCATGGGTTACCGAAGATCAATTGTAACTTTGATCTTCACGGGTTCTAAGATTCCGAATCCTGAAGAATTATCAATGTGTTGACATAGTGACAAGTGTCGACCTGACTACTGGCAGGCTGTGATGATGTATCGGGAAGGTTGTAGACTCGTGGACGGTGTGTATATACATATGTTTACAAGTAACTGTATACACATCCTAACAGTGTAGCGGATCATACTCGAAGAACCAGTTGGGTTTCTTGAATGGAGTATGAAAATAGATATGGAGCTAGTATTAGGTGTGAGGACAACGCTGCTCAATATATGTGTGATTTAAGCCGTCGTTTATAGTTCTTATAGTTCATGGTCATCAATATCAATGTTAATCCCTGCTGGACATATTGACCACTGATCATAAGCACGTGTGTCCGCTCATGACACCCACACGGAAGTGCTACAATTTCCTCCCCGTGGATTGGCTGGGAGACATAACGACTTACCAAGGTTATGTGAGTGCGTCCTGTAGCCAATAGGGAAGATGGAGTAGCTGTCATAATCGCACGCACTTTCCATATGGAATTCTGTTAAAAGGATTTTGAGATGTTACCACAGTATAATTATGTTACCAAACATGTTAAGTGAGAGATGTTTGATACATGAATGATGCCATACTAATGTAGCTAAATGACATGTACTACATCAGGCGATACGTTGATATATCCATTACTACACAATAAAGTGCATATTTGGAAGGAAGTATATAAACACCAATAAATATTTTGATGAAATGAGTGTTTCTCTTCAACCGTTAAAAACCCAAACGTTTTGAAGTAATTTTAACCAACCTTGCATTTGAGGAGGTATGTAGCCAGTATCGGCCAACACGTAGAAGCCTGCTTGCTTCTGTTGCCTGAATCAAGAACATGCTGGGGTTATCATTGCCAAATCGACAGCCGATCTAGCGTTACTCAATGTCTCCCTTAAATCTTAGTTACATTAACACCCACACCCACACCCACACACCCACACACACCAAAACAAAACACACACACGAAAAAAACAAAACAAAACAAAACAAAACAAAAAAAAACAAACATAACAATTAAAAACAAACAAAATAACCAAAACACACACACACCGAAAAAACAACAAAACAAATAAAAAAACCAACCAAAACAAAAAAGCCCCAAAAACAAACACACTAAAAAAAGACAACAACAATAAAAAAAAGACAACAAACACACACACACACACACACACACACACACACACACACACGCACACACACACACACACGCACACGCACACACACACACGCACGCACACACACAACAAACAATACAAACAAAACAACAACAACAAAAAATCTAAAAAAACAAAAACAAACCCAACAAATAAAAAAAACCCCATAAAGTAACCAGTGATGATACTCACGTCGTGTAGGTCATGTGTAGTGTTACTCCGGAGTCATCCGTCAGGTAACCTGTAGTTATATAATCACATGTAGTGTATATCAGCGGCAATTGCTATAACAGCTATTTTGTTGTTGTTGTTGTTTGTTGTTTAACGCCGCACTCAGCAATATTCCCGCTTTATGAAGGCAGTCTCTGAACCAGACAATCCAGTGACCAACAGCACGAGCATTCGGGATACGATGACATGTGTCAGTAAAGTCAGCGAGCCTGACCACCCGATCCCCCTCTTCTTACGACAAGCATGGGTTGCTTAAGACCAATTCTAACCCGGATCTTCACGAGTTACTACAACAGCTACGATAAGAGCTCTACGGTTTGTGTTTCCTGCTTGGAAAAGTAAAAAATAGCTTCATGACTAGCTCACCTGGGAATCGTTGCACGTAATGAAGCTGTATGACGATGTAATCGATGCCCGTGTCCCCACCGACGCGGAAGCCCACACCTAGAACAAACACGTAGTGGTGTAGGCCACGGCGTGACACAGTATTAGATCCGGCTATTAGGAACAGGCGATGCTAGAAGATTCCATCTTGACTATTGTTTTACACAGACCATTCTCATATCGGAATTGGGAAATGAAATGTTTTAAGAAGCTCTATCACAGAAAACATGATGCCATCTTGACCATTGTTTCACACAGATCATTCCTGTATATGGGAATTGTGAAATGTTTTTAGAAACGTAATATACTAGCCACTTTATAATATACTAGAATATGCACATGCGTAGGAGGAGTATCGAAGCAAGAATTGATGAAATTAAAACAGTTGTATTTCAATGATTTGGTACATTCAAGACAGTTTACAATAGCTTTCGTCTTGCGTGACGCCATGCCTGACGCAACCCCCCGCACAACGTTAACGGTACTTATGCCCATTTCATAAAGTGTATAACATGTAGAATGTTTCTAATTACTTACATTTCACACCGTTTTGTGAAAGTCGCTTACCGATAGTGATGTCATTGGTATTTTCATTGAGGTGAGGTTTATGGTCAGTCTGTCGTGCTGCTTACAGTTTCATTTATAATTCATCTTATTTGTTTTACACAATTCTTCACGCGATTAATATCATTATTAGTATATTTTGCTTTCGGACTAGACGGGAGACCAGTCTAAATCTACTGGCACCAATTACGTCACAATCCAATGGAGGTAACTCTGACCTGTTTACTTCGGAAAGCAAACTCCTCATAATTGGATGACGCTTCAACACTTATACAGAATCTGAGTGCATATTTTCGAAAATAAAAATTAACTAAGTTTATAATTCTGTTTTGTTTCAGTTACGAAAGAACCTGATTTTTTCGTGTACACATTCCCTTTAAAGAGTTTGTCTTCAATTGTTGTTTTACGGAAAATCAATATAAACAGTGGTGTACTGTTTCAGGCACACTGTCACTATACCACTGCACAGTGACGTTACTGATAATGTTTCTGAAACATTTAGACGACACTTTCGCGAAGTCTTGTCTGAATGTCTTCCTACCATAAATCGTCGAACTTCATTACCAGATTTTACGAGTGAACATCTTGCACGAAAATGGCGCACGTAATGAAGTAAATTCTCCCAGACGGTAACCTTTAGGACAACGTTTGAATTCTGACGAAGATATACAATCAAACATGATACAAGATTTAGCAACATTTGATCACAACCTCATTTCCCTCCAACCCAGTTTGAGGTGGAATCCAAAGAACGTCAGAAGAAATGTATTTAGAATTCTAGTAAGTGTCTATTAACTGTTCCAGCAATTCAAACAGGGAAACAAGAAGTACCAAATTCTACCGTTATTTGTTATGACACGGCTAGGAAATCGAACCACAGACCGCTCTCCGGACAGGCAGTCCGTCGACAGCACCACGGAACCGGTCCTCAGTAGAAAGGTGTATACGGAGTTGACTTACAGAAACTGGGAATATCGGATATGAAAATGCATCTATAACTTTGCCAATCGAGTAGGCATGCGAATTGTTACCGTCAGGGAGATTCATGGATGGAGCGTCCAGGGCCCAGGCAAACACTACCTGGCGGTCTCCATCCAGGCATACTGACCGCTCTGAGCGGTCGCTGGTTTCACCACAAGACCTGGAACACAGAATCTGAGAGTGTACACAAGGAACAAGCTGCGTAAACTGTCAGAAACATATATACAACCGATCGAATATCGCCAGGTCAGCAGAACAATAAAGTCGTCATATATAAGTGGCAGCGGGGTAGCCTAGTGGTTAAGGCCTTCGCCGTCATGAATACCCGGGTTCTATTCCCCACATGGTTACAATGTGTGAAGCCCATTTCTGGTGTCCCCTGCCGTGATATTGATGGAATATTGCTAAAAGCGGCGTAAACTTAAACTCACTCATATAAGACAACATTATATACAGCAGTCATATGAGTTCTTTCTGAGTGCGCCATTCGTATAACCGTTGGTCTATATACGAACACGCCAGTACAGAGCAGATCCTGCATCATGTTACCTTTCACTACAGTTTCACCGATAGGACATCTGAATTGCATTGAATATCTGAACTGAAAATATTAAAACACACCCAGTGGATGAAAACAGGCATTCACTGAGAATATTACTGGGCTGTTCATCTTTGTACACTGACTGTTTGATTTGATAACAAAACAACGATGTTAAATGCAATGATGACTTACCAGTTGGGTCGCCACTTACCAGTAGGGTCGTCACTTACCAGTAGGGTCTTCTGTCCCCTGGGACCTTACACCCGTACACCATCAGATGATGTGCCCTGGTTCTGGAGGCGTGAGGCTCATACTTCACTGTAACAACAGAGAAACCAAACATGTCAAAAACTGGTACTGGCTAGGTGCTTTAAAACTTAGTGCTTAAAAAGTACAGTTTTTTATTACCCGTATGAGAAAATCCGAACTTAAATTTACAATGGCGTGATCAAAGTAGAGATTAAAGTAAAGATTCTAAAAACATTAAATTTCTTCCGTATGCAAATCGTCTAAATGAAACAATTTCAAAAGTGGTATTGCAACTGCCACTTAATGCTCATGCTTATTAGTGATTGTAATGCAGCACGTGTCTTGTAATGATTCAGGTATGTTGATAGTCAATGCCATTCAGGTTCTCACTTGTAACGACCATCGCCATGAATTGATAGGACATAGAAACAATGAATACATTTGTACCTATATACGCCGTTCTCTTGTTTAACTTCACCGCATGGCATAGTAGGGCGTCGGCCTTTAACACAGAACATTATTACATAAAGATGTGGTTTTTACATATACTCTTACTGAAAAGAAGAAGTACATTTACATTCACAATAGATACAAACAGATGAAGTCCTGTTCTTCCAGTTCTTCACACACACACACACACACACACACACACACACACACACACACACACACACACACACACACACACACACACACACACACACATATCTAAATAGACAATATCTACACAGTTCAATATATAACGCGTTTATAACATTTGTGTGTGAACTGTTTACACACCATTTGTTAGAATTAATGTGCTACATTAAACATTACATTCTAATCTAAACGCGATTACACTCACTATGTTAACCCAAATGGAATGGTTATCAACACGTAGAAGAGAACGTACCTTCTGGGCTCGGACATGAGGCATTCGGATTGTCCTAGTGAAAGCATTGGGGTCTTGAAGTATCCATCCCTCGGTGTAGAACACATCGCAAACTAGCACAAACAAGGCCAGAAACATATCCATCAAATCCATCGTTTACCTTCCTTCAAAGGCGTTTAAACCATTCCCCAAGTGGAAGTGAGTTAGTGAAAGCCGACGTACAAGGAAGCACACCTAGTGTCCTTATCACCTCCTGGGGCCTGGAAATACAGATTATCAGATCAAGTGCCAAGCGAGGGCGTGTGCTATTTATGTCTCTTTGTCTTTCTTACAGCCATGCCAGATTGTAACATGCACCAATAATCGCCGACGTGGTTATTACAAACTCAGGAAATTACTGAAGCGTATGCATATACTGTAAAGGGGCAAGATGAAACCCAGCCAATCAGGCCATGTGAATGAGTACGTTCCTTCAAAGCCATAGATCAGACTTTAGGATCCCTTCAGTTGACCTGGGAACCCCTCCTTCCATGCCACAGATCAGACTTTAGGATCCCTTCAGTTGACCTTGGAACCCCTCCTTCCATGCCATAGATCAGACTTTAGGATCCCTTCAGTTGACCTGGGAACCCCACTTGATGAAATCCCATGACTTAAAAGCACGTGTCGCCTTTCAATATCAAGTGCAGACACATTGTTGAGGTGAATAATTAAACCGGTTATTCTTGGTATACATTATACACTTCACTGAGTGAGAGTGACGTACGTTTCAGTGAATAGTTCCTTACTGACTTTCTGTATTCGCGAAAACACTTACGCCGCTCCGTTGTCAGTATCACGTAAAGACAATATTTTAGTGTCTGACACTATATTATAACTCATTAATGCATTTTAATCAAATCTTAACATACGAATCAACCTATATGTTACTAAGAATATTTTCGCAAAACCATTTGTGCTGTGCAAATTGAGTTTTGGTCAAAACGATGTAAAAAGAAACTTGATGTTGGTTTGCAGTGAGCTACTGGTAACCCAAATATTGGCTATCATTGTTTAGGGATTACGGAACAACATTAGTTATTTATGGTAAAAAGATCAGACTGTTATCATGCCCAACAATTTGCAATGCGTAACACATGTTTTGTGTGTAACGTTGTTTTATTTGATATTATTTTGACTGACTGTCCCGGAATAACGTTCGGACAGGAACCAGAATAAATTGACTTGTATTTGCTGACGGAAACTAGTGATGGCACGGCCGCCATATGATACCTCCTGATGGACCTGCGCTAGATCTCCGTGTCCGGCATACTCGAAGGCAGCTTGATGCCTTATCATTCATGTTCGTAGTACAAATTCGAATAGTCAAAATGAATAAAGTAGAAATCCACGTAGTTATTAGATATATTCCCTCAAAGTGATGGGGTTCTGATTACTCGGCCACTATTATTAGTACTGACATTAGGTGTGTAGGAACATATGAAGTACACTGGCGACAATTGTTCATTCAGTGTAAAACAGATTCAAAGCATTAGGAGCAGTTCCGACCACATACCTGCTTCATTATCTGGCACTCCACAATCCAGAAACTGCACTCGATTGTCTACAAAAGGTACTATATTTAACAATGTCGGTAAATCCAAAAAATGTGTTAGCTAAAACAATATCTTCACAAGACTAATGACAATTAAGCACAACAGCAAACCTTGTTGAAGAATCTTGGCAGAATACCGCGAGTTGCCCACGGCATGTTTTCGGAAACAATGTCATAATTACCATTCTCCTGCCATTTCCCTCCCTCCCTGGAAAACACGCTGCCTCCTGATTCATGTGGACATCATCAGCTTAATAACACACCTCACTGGGCATTCCGCTACAACTTACTTCCTTGTCGTCACCGAAATGAAAAGCGATCATTTGTAGTATCGGCTTATTAAGCATATTCATAGCTATTCAGGTTGACTAAACACTTACAGAACTGAAATAGATTGAACGTGCTATTCTGGAGGTGGAGTATTTTCTGCAGCAAATTTCTTTCAACGGGCACATTGATTCGGTGCGCTGTTATTGCTGCGTTTGTAATTATTAGTGTAGGATTACAGTTATTTCTGATTCGAGGCTTGGTGCGTGACGTGTGGTGTGTGGAGGGGTACATGGCCAATCTGACGCTTTGAATGGAAGGAGGAAGTCGAACCGTTATCAATATGAATGAAAACTGCTCAAAACTCCCACTGCTCTGTAACGTAATAACAGACATGATGGTCAGGTAATATTCTCTTATAACCTGTTAATATCGCAAGGAGATCGTCATCTTGACTGCCTGGCTTGTGGGAAAACACACAGAAAACCGGTACATATTCCTAAATTATTAGATTGGCACAAAACAAATGTCAAAATCATAGCCACTGACACACGATGGTATTTCAGTGCAGTGAATGCTGTTCTACAACTACCACTGAGGCCATGTAACTAAACAGAACGAACGTGGACACACAGCTATCACACACGCCCTTTCACCAAACAGAACACACAGCTACAATACAGGCCCTTTCATCAAACAGAACTAACGTGGACACACAGCTACCATACAGGCCCTTTCCCAAAACAGAACGAACGTTGACACACAGCTTCCATTCAGGCCCTTTCATCAAACAGAACGAACGTGGACACACAGCTACCATACAGGCCCTTTCACCAAACAGAACGAACGTGGACGTACAGCTACAATACAGGCCTTTCACCAAACAGAACAAATATGGACATACAGCTTCCATTCAGGCCCTTTCACCAAACAGAACGAACGTGGACACACACCTACCTTACAGGCCCTTTCACCTAACAGAACGAACGTGGACACACAGCTACAATACAGGCCCTTTCACCAAACAGAACAAATATGGACATACAGCTTCCATTCAGGCCCTTTCACCAAACAGAACGAACGTGGACACGCAGCTACCATACAGGCCCTTTCACCAAACAGAACGAACGTGGACACACAGCTTCCATACAGGCCATTTCAACAAACAGAACGAACGTGGACACACAGCTACCATACAGGACCTTTCACCAAACAGAACGAACGTGGACACACACCTACCTTACAGGCCCTTTCGCCAAACAGAACGAAAGTTGACAAACAGCTTCCATACAGGCTCTTTCACCAAACAGAACGAACGTGGACACACAGCTACCATACAGACCCTTTCAACAAACAGAACGAACGTGGACGTACAGCTACCATACAGACCCTTTCACCAAACAGAACGAACGTGGACGTACAGCTACCATACAGACCCTTTCTCCAAACAGAACGAACGTGGACACACAACTACCATACAGGCCCTTTCACCAAACAGAACGAACGTGGACACACAGCTACCATACAGACCCTTTCACCAAACAGGACGAACTTGGACACACAGCTACCATACAGGCCCTTTCACCAAACAGAACGAACGTGGACGTACAGCTACAATACAGGCCCTTTCACTAAACAGAACGAACGTGGACGTACAGCTACCATACAGGCCATTTCAACAAACAGAACGAACGTTGACACACAGCTACCATACAGGCCCTTTCACCAAACAGAACGAACGTGGACACACAGCTTCCATACAGGCCCTTTCACCAAACAGAACGAACGTGGACGTACACAGGCTACAATACAGGCCCTTTCACCAAACAGAACGAACGTGGACGTACAGCTACCATACAGGACCTTTCAACAAACAGAACGAACGTGGACGTACAGCTACCATACAGGACCTTTCAACAAACAGAACGAACGTGGACGTACAGCTACCATACAGGCCATTTCACCAAACAGAACGAACGTGGACACACAGCTTCCATACAGGCCCTTTCACCAAATAGAACGAACGTGGACATGCAGCTTCCATACAGGCCATTTCACCAAACAGAACGAACGTGGACACAAAGCTGCTTGCTAGATATTAGATTTTCACGTAACTGAGGCTGAAATTGTTGCCACCTTCAAAATGGACAAGTTAATCACATTTTAACCCCACAAAGTACTACATTTACATATATCCCTTGCTTTTACGCCTTTTAACAATGTTCCATCAATACCACGGCGGGGGACACCAGAAATGGGCTTCACACATTGTACACATGTGGGGAATCGAACCCGGGTCTTGACAATGGTACAAGAATCGTAACGTCGCTCACACGAAGTAAAAGAAGTTGTTAGCCATAAAGGTTGTTCAGTACATCTCTTATAGTGACTAATTCAGGACAGCCATCGTCCAAATATTTAAAAAGTCCAAAACTATGTACTCAAGACATGTGAGACTTTATTGTAATATATAAATGACGCTAAGCTGTATTTTTAATCACTACTGTACATCCTTATCACTACCGCATTGTAAATTGACTTGTCAGACCGTTAATTATTGTATAAGACATTTATAACCTTCATTGGTAATCGTGTCTGCCATCACATCAACTGGTCAAGGAAGTACTATTGTTTTTCTGTCTGTCCATTGATGAGTCGTCGCCTGACCATTGTTGTCAAAAACTGTATATATATATATATATATACTAGGTATGCTCACATCTAGACAGCGAAGGAGTACGAGTTCGGTATTCGGACTGTCTGTTGGGACGACCACGAACAGGATAATGCTGCTCGTTGGAAACGCCCTGGGGTTGAGCAGGTACTCCGCTCACCTCGCTCATGTCTTGTGTATTTGTTTGTCATGTAACTAAAGAGGTTTGAGCTCAACTATGTCTTCGTCTTCATCAACGCACACTTCATCTTAATTATGAGCTAATTCCCCAGTCGACCCGTAAACCACGACAGTTTGGTGTTAGAATCCGGCTGGAGTAACTTTTCAGCTTACTCCCGATCTTGAAAACCTCTCTATGTGCCTACCATTAACATGATGTGATGATGATGATTCCCCAAGTTCTACGTCTACTTGAAGAGATTACAAGCGTCTTGATCAACATGGATCCTCAACGCCGCCATTTTTACTGGTGCATCATACAACAACCACCTGATGGACAACCTACAAGTTAAGGATGAATCACCCAGATACCACAGTCCAAGCAAGTACTTGTGTCTCTCCTACAGAGATCTGATCACAGCCATCATTATGGAGATCCTGTATTCATACAGAAAATACCTCAAGGACATCTTCAAGACGGACATTGTGTACAACAGAACTCATCAGGACCTACTTAGCTGTGTGTTCTTAAATGGACTCCGTTCAGGATATACATTGTGTTGTTGTTGATAAGTGCAACCAGGTATGTTCAATCACAAGTCAGTACATTACTACTTTCTTATGTCTATACCATAATGTATTAAGTGCATATGAACAATGTGCACCAAATTACTTCTGTAAAATGAAGTGAGAACAGGGATATTCTTGGGCCCAGCCACCCACAGACGCACATGTATATTATGTGTCAGTATTAAGAAGACACTGACAGCGAAGTAATATTCAGCATTTTAGAGTTTTGAAGTCAGAGTAGGATTATTTATTTTTTTCATTAGGCATAGCAGCCGCAATATATGGGCAAGCTCTGTCAACGACACAGGAATAGCACCCATTGAAGGATTATTATTTTTTATTGGGCATAGCACTCACACTATATGGGCAAGCTCCGTCACAGACACGGGAAGAGCACCCAACGTACTTAAACGGGCAACAGTACCCACAAGTACCGTCTGAGTCGCGCGGTAAAGTTAGACTCCTGGTTTCAAATTTCTTAATGCGAAATATTTGCTGACATGTTTATGTGTACTTTTTATGACGCTAATTATTGTCGTTATTTGGTACTGAGCCTCTCAAACTCGCAATTCTAGCTTATTACTAAAAATCTAGCTTCTCACTAACAACTGTAATTTAGCAATGGGATAAGATAGGTCTCAACCTTAACACGTAGGTGTTATTAATAGTGCTAGGAGATAGAGACGGCCGCTCTACTTCACTAGACATCACTTCACATCAAAGAAATATCCAAACAATAATCAAACCAATCCTATCATTTATAAAATATTATGTGCAACAGTTCTGTTTAGACCTCCCTACATATCACCACAAAGTAGATTTTCATTGCGTGATTCAGTTTCACGCGGCTGGTGTCAGGATCCGCTGTTTCCAATCTCTAAGATTCATTCCTGAAATGGTCCTTTGTGAGAACAGCCTTGTTTGAACTCGTGCGGCAGAGCGAAGAACAAGTGGTTTGAGCCGATATTTGTGAAATGCACTTAGACTGGGTACTTAGTACTGTATTGGCTTGCGAGACATGTCTCACGCTGTATGAGTCCACCTCGTATCTGCTTACTTAAATCCTTAAAGGGCTAGTTTGGTTTATTGCTTTGTGTTTATGAATCTCTGTCAATGCTCCATATTGCAACCAGTTTGTTATTATTTCTAACCGACATAGCTGCACAAATCACAGACAGAAGGTCTGAAGCGCCGCAATTCGCTGTGCAGAGTTGCGTCCCCAGGGTGTGACAGAAACCGAGGATTCCGGTTCGGTTAGGCTCGATCAAGTAAGTGTCTATGTTTATCAGCTCCATACTCATAGCCGTGAGTTTCGCCGAAGTGGCAAACGTCCGAGACCGGCTTTCCTCCAGCATCAAGCAGACACCGTTATATAACTCGGATGTAGTTTATAATGACATGACATTCAACTCACTCTTTCACTCTATCGGATAGCATTAATATAGCGTTGGCGAAGTAATCGTTTGTCAACACCTTGATAGGGAGGACTAGTCGGAGTCGGAATACTGTGTCCGAGCGGGATATTCAGGCTAAAGGTGGTATCTCATTGGCCTAGCATTAAACAGTAGTCAAGAATAGTACAAACAAACACACTTACACAAATATTTGGGAGTCATGT